TTCTAAAGGTGCAAGATAAGGAGTAATAAATACATTTTTTTATAATTAATTTTTATTAAAATATAAATATTAATTTAGATTTAATTAATTAATTAATTAAAATAATTTACATGTTAATAATATTAAAATATATCAATTTTATCATTTTTAATATAAATTAATTATAAAATATATATATTTATTATACTCTTAACTTATACTTAAAATATACAAATTAAACAAACTTATAAATAAGAAAAAGTTATCACAAGTTGATTCACAACCTATCGTGCGCACCTTGGCTCTTCCTCTATGTTCATTAACGCGTTCAATAATTCTAAGAGCAGTGCTAGCGGCACTCGCCTCCTGCACTCTCCGGCCAACACATGCTTTTTTATTGGGCCACGTAAGCTTTCTGGGTACGAAATGATTACTTCTCCCTAACCAACATAACGTGGCCCAATGAAATTGGAAGTGTTGGTCGGAGAGTGCATATGGCGAGTGTTGCTAGCATTGCTCTAATTCTAATAGCTTATCTTCTTCATTTTTTTATTTGAACTTTTTATCAAGTGTCTGGTTCGAAACTCGCTAAAAGTAGGAGGATATATATTTTTTCAATGACACTAGTCATTGAATCACACGGGCCAAGTGCAGCTTATCTTCTTCATTTTAACATTCAATTTCGTTGAAATAACAATAAAACCATCACCATTAACAGGCAATTAGACATGAGAAAAGAAAATTCATCCTGTTGATTAATTAAGGTGATAATTGTTAACTTAATCAATTGTCAAGATCAAGATTACAGTGTTTTGTCTCCTGATTATACTGATTGGACTAAGCAGCTATCCATGGCTCCCACTAAAAGATAAGTGACAAAAGCCTCAACTTTTTTAATAATTGCACGGCTGGCTCTAATTCTTCCTCTAAAGGAAGAACTGACACTAATAGGGTAATTTACCAATTATGATTAACAAGACATCTAATCTCAATGAGATCACGATTCATACCTTCTAACCTCCTAACCTTTTCTTACCTAAAAAATACTTTAATTTTTTTTATGTTGGCTTGGCAAGCAAATTATATATTCAAGATTCTATCAAGTACTCCCTTTATTTGAAAATATAAGTGGTTTGATTCTTTTACTTATTTTTAAGTTATATTTTTTGTGGTATATTATAAATAATAATTAAATTTTTTATACGTAAAATTTACTAAATTTTTTTATATTAATCATCATTTATATAAGGCTGGCAAAAAAAAATATCATTTATATAAAAAAAAATATAAAAGTGTCTTCTAGAGTTTATTGGCCGGTATTTTGAAAAAGAGGGAGTTAAGTCTTGTAAAGTTATACCAATCATCAAGTTGCTTTTTATATTGTAATTAGATAGAAATCCAGGGGCAGGTGTGCGGTGTAAAGGAAAACAGTAATTTAAGGATGACAACATGTCCTCACATGATAAGGTTTCATCTCTATTCTTATCAATGATAGATATAAAAATCTTCACAAAAATTTTTAGTTGGATAAAAAATGACCTTTGTCTCGTACTCACAGAAAATGATAGGTTTTTATGAGCATTTAGAGTCCCAACTAAATACTAAATATATAAAAAAAATTTATAAATAAAAAATAAAAATTTAAAACAATTCAAATAAGTAAATATATTAATTTATAATGTAGTAAAACAATATCTAGTAACTAACTACAACAAATATATATTATCATATACGTCGAACAAATCTAATAGCAAATTCATAAAATATACATATGAAGTGTCATATATGTTTAGGTTGGGTTAAGTTTAAGAATACTAGAATTGCAAAAAGAATTAGAGTAGGTAATTTAGGTTAAGTTGAGTTAACCAATTAAATTAAGCAAATAAAAATTAATTGATAATATATTTATAAAAATATATACTAATAAATTTATATTTTTTTATTATATACATATTCCCATAAGCTTTTATGAGGTAGAAGAAATTCTTCACAAAATTTTATAAAAAAAAATAATTTCATCCCTACCATACCAAAAAAATTATTTTTGAAATCTCTATTCCTACTACAGGAATCTCTACAAAACTTCAGAAGCCTCGGAAGAAATTGCTATCACTAGACGGCATGGTGTTAATGGTGGAAGAAAATATGGGGTCAGGTTATGGCAATAAAGTCCAGGCGGAAAGTTTTAAAATTTCGCACTAGAACGTGCAGACCATGCAATGGCTGGGGTCTAGGCCTTGGGCCCCGCTAAGCTGCAGAGTGCTTTTGAGTACTCCTCAGGGACCTCAACTCCTATAAAGATTAGTGGCGTAGATGACTTCGCTTTTGCTTTTCATTCTGTT